CCAGCTCTACACCTTGGTATCCAATATTCTCCAACATCTGCAGTTCCTACTGTCTCTGAAACAACCATTAACTATTTGTTTATTGTCTTGAACAAATTCTTATTATTCCCAATCAAGTCAGTAAACAATGAATAATAAATATGGTGTAGAATAATTTTTCAACCATCCTGTCCTTATGCTGTACTCATGTTTCAGGATGCCTTTTCTAAAAGAAACTTTTTTAGAACTTGGTTCCTACAACATTAAGGGGCAGATTACTCAAAACATAGGTTTGTGATCATCAGTAGCTTTTTAAAATTACTTTCAAACATTTTTGGATGCTACCAGGATCTATTGTCAGAGGTGGCACTAATGATGCTTAATTTGCTAAAGTGACTTTTTTTTTTAATTACTTTTCCAGGGTAAAAATGTGCCTGTGAAGAAAGAATTTCCACATTAGTTTTGTGCAATATCTGTATTCACAAGTAATTTGATAGTGAATGGAAAAGGTGCAGGAAGCCTCTTGCAGTAACAATATTGTGTTTTCAGGTGGTATCATGGACATCTATCGGGTAAAGATGCTGAAAAACTCCTGACAGACAAAGGAAAACCTGGAAGTTTCCTGGTGCGTGAAAGTCTCAGTAAACCAGGAGATTTTGTTCTATCAGTGCTGACTAATGAAGAAAAATTTGAAAATGGAGACCGTAAACCAAGAGTAACACATGTAATGATTCGGAATCAGGTGGGCTGATCAGACTGTTCACGTTTTTAAAACAATATTTTAGAGATTTTAAACTTGTTATTTTTAAAGCTAATAAAAAGTGCTTTGAAATTTAAATTTTGTTTCAAGCTAAAGATTATCTGACAGTTGGAGTGTAATATTTACTTGTGTAAGATTCAACACCATGATTGCAGCAAAGCAAATACTCCATGCAGATTAAAAACACAGCATAAGTCAGGATTTTTCAAGGGTGCTGTTATTCCTCTATTTGTCATTGTACTACCCAACCTGAAAAGATTTATGCTGAGTTAGTTTATCTGAATAAGGAGTAAAGAAAATTCAATGGGGTAGTCACTGCTGACAGCAACTCTGACATTCGGTGAAAAGTGTGTGTAAATTCCTGTTAATAGATTGCTTCAAGCTTTAATGTCCCTGTTATACAGTAGATCAGTGACTTTTTTTGTGTTCTCACAAGTAGAATAATCATTCAGGTACTACATTGCTGATCTCTGGCACCCAAAGATAAATATCAATCAATAGCCTGCCCCTTTTGAAATAAGGAATGAAAACAGGCCAAGAACTCATCTCTCAAAATACAAAAATGTTCTAAAGGTATTCCCTTAGTTATTTTACCTCTGTTTATCTGCTCCAGCATTTAGCAGCAAAATTGAATATATACAGTGATGCATTAAGGAATATTTTCGTAACTTCTTGGTGGGAAAGAGAGATGAGTACAGTGAGAGTGAATGAGCATTTTCTCAGAAATGTAGATTACTATGAAGGCACAATTCAATTAATGCAAATATTAGTCATTATAGTTACTATGAGAGAGTTTGCAGAATAATACTTATGCTGTAATATAATCAAGACTTTCTGAAGGTCACGATGATAAAGTCTGAAACTATGAGAATAAGCTTCCGAGCAGTTAATGTATTTTTGTTTTCAATGATTGTGTTTTACTATCCATCCCGCAATTGTTATAATATACAGAAATTATAAACTCTGAGCTATTCCCCCGATTCAATCAATAAAAAATTTGAATATCACTTATGTTTCAGTCACATAGCTCAACTGCTGACACAACTGCTGATAGTATTGATGTTTTGTCAAACAAAGCATTGAAACCTGTAAACGAGATTGGTGGTAGGTGAATGAAGGGATTTGTGAACTGAGTAGTGTGTGAAGCTACTGAAAACGACAAATGCTGGAGATCACAGCAAGTCAGATAGCATCCATGGAGAGACAGCAAACTAACATTTCAAGCTAAGATAACTAGGTGTAGAGATGGATGAACACAACAGGTCAGGCAGCATCAGAGGAGCAGGAAAGCTAACGTTTCGGGTCTGGACCCTTCTTCAGAAGTGGGGGAGGGGAAGGGGATTCTGAAATAAATAGGGACAGAGGGGGAGGCAGATGGAAGATGGATAAAGGAGAAGATGGGTGGAGAGGAGACACAGGTCAAAGAGGCGGGGACGGAGCCAGTAAAGGTGAGTGTAGGTGGGGAGTTAGGGTGGGGGCTGGTCAGTCAAGGAGGCGGGGATGAGGCTGGTAGCTAGGAGGGTGGGGGTGGGGGTTGAGGTGGGAGGAGTGGATAGGTGGGAGAAAGGACGGACAGGTTAGGGAGGCAGGGACGAGCTGGGCTGGTTTTGGGATGCGGTCGGGGGCGGGGAGATTTTGAAGCTTGTGAAGTCCACAGTGATACCATTGGGCTGCAGGGTTCCCAAGCGGAATATGAGGTGCTGTCCCTGCAACCTTTGGGTGGCATCGTTATGGCGCTGGAGGAGGCCCAGAATGGACATGTCGTCCAAGGAGTGAGAGGGGGAGTTGAAGTGGTTCGCGACTGGGAGGTGCAGTCGTTTGTCGCGAACTGAGCGTAGGTGTTCCACAAAGCGGTCTCTAAGCCTCCACTTGGTTTCCCCAATGTAGAGGAGGCCACATGGGGAACAGCAGATACAGTATACCACATTAGCAGATGTGCAGGTGAACATCTGTTTGATGTGGAAGGTTTTCTTGGGGCCTGGGATGGGGGATATTTGTTTTCAGTACAATTCCACCAATTGCAGTAATTTGCTGCTACAGTGTGTGAAGCTAGTTGTTCATTTATAAGCATGCAGCATTTAAGATTACAAAGTCATTTTCAATTTGCAGTAAGCTGCTCAAAATCTCAGATTAAGTGGATATTAGGCTCTAAACCTGTAAGCACATAATTTGTAACATGGTGTATCTATGCATTTTAATCAATACATTTTTGGATCAATCCAGGACGGGAAGTATGATGTTGGTGGAGGTGAAAGATTTGACACGCTTACAGACCTAGTGGAACACTACAAAAAAAACCCAATGGTAGAAGTTACTGGAATTGTCGTTCACCTTAAACAGGTATAGTATTTTCTCTTCTAATGGGTAAGTTTATTTTTGGGTCATTTTACAGAATGCTAACTTGCTTCTGATTTAAGCACGAACAGGGAATTTGGCAAATGCACTGTCAAAGTTTACTAGAACCTGGGTTGAGGTTTCTTTTGTATTATTTTTATTATTAATTTGATGTGTTCCTACATGTGTTATCATAAAATCATTGGTATAGCACAGAAGAAAACTTGTGCCTGTGGTTGCATTTTAGTAGAGCCATTCAGCTAGTTCTGTTCCGTCATTCATTTCCAGTAAATGTTTTCACACTCAAAGCCAATTGATTGTACTCCCATCCACCTTTTCAGGCACATATTTCAAATGGTAGCAACCTGCTGTTTTTTAAGAAAAGAAATTTCGTCGTGTCAATTTTGGTTCTTTTGCCCCTAATCTGTGTCCTTTTGTTGTCAAGTTTGCTACTGGAATCAGTTTCTTATTTACACTGTCACAACCATTCATGATTTTTAACACCTGTATCAGATCCTCTTGACCTTCTCTACACTAATAAGAGCCAACCTAAACTTCTCCCTGTTATCACTATCTCCCAACTCTTTGATTCTTGACCCACTACAGTAAATTTGTTCTGCCTTACACTTTGCCATCCAACCTAAAGCTGAGTGTCCAGAATTGGACAGAATACTTCAGCTAAGACTTAGCCAGTGTTCTTATGTGGGTTTTCTGTGATATGTTTGTTTTTTGTTTTTGCATCTTCTTTTACCTTGAGACCCATAGAATCCCTGCAGTGTGGAAGTAGGCCACTCGGCCCATCGTGTCCACACCGACCTGCCGAGGAGCAGCTCCTCAGACCCACTCCTACACCCTGTACCTGGAATCCTGCATTACCCACCTACCCTGCACACCCCTAGACACTATGGGCAATTTAGCATGGCCAATCCACCTAACCTGCACATCTTTGGACTGTGGGAAGAAACCTGGAGGAAACCCATGCAGACGGTCGCCCAAGGCTGGAATCGGACCTGGGCGCTGTGAGGCAGTAATGTTAATCACTGAGCCACCCTGCCGCCCCAACGGTTTTATAAAGCGGTTAATAAAGCCAAGGATCACCTATTTAAGAACCTTGTCAACTTGTCACCTTCAAAGATTTATGTTAATACACCTTCAGGTCTCTGATTTTGCACTTGTTTAAAATTGCATTGTTTAGTTTGTGTTAATACCTTTCATCGTTGCTGCCAAATATATCCCTTCACCTTTCTGTGTTCTATTTTATCTGCCTATTTCACTACACTGTCTTCTGTTCCCCTGAAAATTGTTCTTTAAACTTTAACTATTGATATCAATCTTTTAATCCTTTAAGATTTTCCAAAAAATGTACTCTAACTTTTTTCCTTTATCATTCTTTTTATATCAGTTAAAAATTAGTTTCCTGGAATTGTTATTCATTATAAATGTGACTGGTTCCCTGGCTGCAAGTTGAATTAAAAGTTCCAGTTGTTTGTAACAGCTGAAAAAGTAAGACACCTAATACTGTTTTCAAAAATTTACCAATCAAATACATTGAAAGAGTGACATTGTATGGAATCTTCTCTTCACTGGAGGTGGTGAGGAAGGAAAATAATTGAGTGAGTTGGCCCTAAAGTGATAGTCCTCCTCTTTCTCGCCACCTGAACACTGCATGGGCAAGAAAGTCCATAGTGGAATTTTTTTGATCTGCCAGTAATTAAGGCCCTGAAGTGATCAATTAACAGACAGTTATGGGCTTCAACTTTCTTACCTGACTTGCTGGCAGATGAGAAAAGTGATTGATTACTTGCATGGATACCCAGGGCAATCCACCTGCTGGATTGGAAAGGGGACCTTCAATTGCCCTAATCTGGAGGCAGTGAGTCACAGATGGCGTTGGTCTCTCTGAGTATAGTATTTTCTCCTAATCTGTGCTAAAGAAGAACAACAGGGAAACGTTGTCTCACAGTATCTATAGTTTAAAAGGAAATATTTGCAAATTCCAACATAGCACTCACGAAAAGTTGGTGTACATTCCTGCTCAATTCTGGCACAGTACAGATGCTAACTTCAGAGATTAATGATTTAGTTCATCAAAAATGCTTGGCCAAGAATTGAATTTCTCCTCAAAAGTAAGATAAGGAACCTGTTTTAACTGTTAGCTGTTTTAACGCTAATCATTGGATTTTATGGTGTATTTGAATTTAACTGTTTGTCAACTATTCAGTTGAATTAACTGGAAAAAAGTCATTTCAGTACAACATTTTTTGTACAGCCATTCAATGCTACACGAATAAATGCTGCAAACATAGAGAATCGAGTCAAGGAACTCAATAAAACAGCAGATAACACTGAAAAGGCCAAGCAAGGCTTTTGGGAAGAGTTTGAGGTAAGGAGAGTGATAATGTTTTATTTAATACACTGAATAGGACTCCTGAAGTTGATGTAGGAACACATGAAATAAAAGCTAGAATAGACCATTTGGAACTTCATACCCACTGTTTAACAAGATCATAGTTGATTTACCTCAAGTAGACATTTCTGCCATATCCCTTTCACATCTTCGTACCTAAAACATACCACCCTCTGCTGTAAATATACAACTCCACAACTGAGTGTACATAGCTGTCTGGGAAAACATAAGTGTCTGACCTGCACGTATAACCTCTTAGAGATTTCTCTTAGAGATATACAGCATAGGAACAGGCCGTTTAGCCCACCATGTTTATGCTGACTGACCAACACCAAACTACACTAATCCCATTTACCTGCACTTGGTCCATAGCTGACTGTGCCCTGGCATTTTAAGTACTCATCCAGATGCTGCTTAAATGTTACGAGAGTACCTGTCTCTATCACCCTCTTGGGCAGCGCATTCCATATTTCTACCACCCACTGCGTGGAAAAGAAATCTTTCCTCCGGACCTAACCACCCCCATCACAAGAAAACATTTTTTTTAAATAGTTAGTTTGATTTTTGTCTCTTTGTCAACTTATTTAATTCCCTATCTTATTTTATCCCTCCATATATTTTAATGCTTCTTGCGATTTAAATTGCAAGAGATTGATGTTTATGCCCCAATAGACTCAGACTTCGTTATTAACATCATGCCCCCCCCCAACCTAACAGAGAGGCCATAGATCCTCTAATGTGTATCTAACATTTTACCAACGCATTCGTGTTGATATGCATGACCTGAATATCTTGTCTTGAACTGTTATAGAGACAAATGGAAAAATATTCAAAATCAGCTGCTTTGTAAGACTTGTCCTTGACCACTTGATAAAATTGCATACTAAAATTGACTGCAGCATCTTTTTTTCAACAAGCTATGATTTTTTTTTTCAATATTGCTGTAGTATCTGAATTTCTTTTATTTCATAACACAGATGTAGGAATTATTGCCCACAGCAGCAGATCGGCCCTCTGCTAAAAGGTCACAGCAGAAACGGCAAAGGAAAATGACATTTGTTTCAATATCTCAAGTAAAATGTGGCCAATCCATTTATTATTTGGTTGTAATTAAATGGTTATCTGCATATTACAAATTAAAATAACTAAATTTCTGTGCATTGTAATAAATATTATCCTCTTTAAATCTCCCCATCAAAAGAAGGTCTAACCTTAATTAAAAGAGGTTGCCTTTAAACGTATGATGTATCTTTTGAATTATTCTTCAACAGCTTCTTCAGCAACAAGAATATAAACTACTCTATAGCAGAAAGGAAGGACAAAGAATAGAAAACAAAAGCAAGAACAGATACAAAAATATCTTACCATGTAAGTGGGCTTCACTCCTAGGTTTGTATCAGCATTCTCATTCTCCGTGAGCAATAGGAAAGAAACATTCAAGAAAGCCTTAATTCAATAGGAAAATAGATATGATCATCATCAAACGCACAAGCATGCTGTTTAAAATTGATGTTACATGTCTAGTCAAGAATGACCATTGCTGGTTTAATTTTAATTTTAAAATTATACCCAACTGGCAGTTAAATGTGGAGATTCAGGTAATGCTTCCAAATTTAATTATTGTCTGGCAACAGCAACTGCAACAAATGTTTCGGTGAACATAGTTGCAATGCAGTGTTTTCCAAGAGCTTGCATGATTTTATTGTGCCTCTACAAGCACAGTATTCAGATGTATAACACATTTACTCTCATCATAGTATGTGTAATTCTGCGAATGTAAGTTTGTCATCACAGACACAGGAAATCCTATAAAAAGTCATTACCAGTATGGTGTAGGTTGAAGTACCTTGTACTAGTGATGTTAATTGTTCCATTTTTCTTGTAGTTGATAATACCAGAGTTACACTGAAGGAAGTGGATGAAACCATATTAGGATCTGATTATATCAATGCTAATAATATCACAGTAAGTATCTAAAATTTTTCAAAATGGTTTGAATTGATTTCATTCTCCTTTTGAAATTTAAGGATCTATTTGCTGACATCAATGCATCATGCCTATTTTTGCACACGTACACTATATTAAGAAGGTTATTGGTCATTAAAAATAGTCAGTGTCAAGTGGACTGGCTGGAGGCCATCCTTGGTTCTGTGGGACTTCATTACAAGTTCCTAGGCCTCAAGCTCTCCCTTTTATTCTTTTCAGAACATAGGGCTGCACCGTCATTAGAGAGAGAGAGAGAGAGAGAGAGAGACGAAAGTCACCACACTTCAGGCGAGGGGAGAGGTTGAGAAGGAGAAACCTTCACGGTAACCTCAGCCAGTGTGGGAATTGAGCCCATGCTGTTGGCTTTGCTTTGCTTCACAAACTAGCCATCCAGCCAACTGAGCTGACCATGCCAGTCCTCACCCCTCCCCTCGTGTGCTCCCTGCATTACAATCAGCTGGCACAAATTAATTACTCATCATCATACCCTCCCATGTTTTCAGGGGCAATCTAGTTTAGCCATTACCTTTTAACTAAAGGCTGCCTCTCCCCTGTCAATACAAAGGGCTGAGGAGAGAAATCCTATTGTGAGATTTCAAGCAATTCCAAATTGCCTGGATCAAAGATATATCTATTTGATCCTAATGTTATCTACTATTAAACATCCTAATTGATCCAGTAGCCCATTTTGGACATGTGCTGTAAACAAACCAAGCCAGCAGCTTTTTAGTGTGCAAATATGCTCCTCAAGGCAAATGGAGTGCAGATGGATTTTGTGCCCAGGGACTCTACCAGTGTGGAGCCACTGGTAAAACTCTCAGCTTAGTTGTGTTCCCACAAGAACAGAAAGCTACTCTAATCTCCTGGGCATTGGTTTGAGCAACCAGAGAGAAAATCGGGAAATAGAGATTGTGTGTGTATCTCACCTTTGATTTGCACGTGCCTGCAAATTTTAACTGTTTGCAGTAGTCTCTCGGGTGGTGGAGCCCCGACGCTAAGGGTGTGACTGATTCTGACACCAAACCTTTCACACCCTGAGTTCGTATCTCTCAAAAGACCGAGTTGCAGAATCGGCAATTCTTGAGAAAACGACTGCGTTTTCAGTTAGTCATGGGCTATGCTTTGTTTTTATATCTATTCAAATGGTGTTGCCTGTAACTGCAATGACAACATTTTAGCATAGATACTACTTTCAGTCTTCAAATACATTCCAGGCTAACAGTAAATAAATAATTTTACAGTTGTTTCATGCCCCACCTTCCTTGAAAAACTGTTTTCCTAGTAAATTAAGGATTTGCAGTAAGTACCCATTAGCAGGCAAATGTAGTTTATTTTAATGTGATGCAGCATAGAACAGTTACATCTTGGATTATTCTTGCTGGGAAATTACTACATTTGTAACAGTTAATGGCTTGATGACCATATCATTAATGTAATGCTGATAGTAAATAACTGTTGTTATAGTAAATAGCTGTTGTTAAACCTGTTGCAAGCTTGCGAAATTTAGTCTTTGTGTGTCTAACAAATAAATCTTTACTGTTTAACGATAGTATAATGTGATATGGTTTGCTTTTTTCATTGGTGTAGCTCATAAATAGAACCATAGAAATGATGTAGCACAGAAGGGGGGCATTCGGCCCATCTTGTTCATGCCAACAGAGTGACACCCAAATACCTTTTCTAATCCCATCTCCTGCACATGATGCAAGTCTTGCAACTTACAGCACTGAAGGTGCTGATCCAGGTATTTTTTTAAAAAGAATTTAGGGTCTCTGCCTCCACCACCAACTCACAGCGAATTCCAAGTACCCACCAATCTGTGGTTTTTTTTTAAAAAAAGCTTTTCCTCACATCCCCTCTAATCCTTTTGCAACTTAGCTTGAATCTATGACCTCTAGTTCTTGAACACTCTGACAAGGGAAACAGTTCTTCCTGTCTATCTATCTCTACTGCTCACAATTTTTTGTGTACCTCAAATATAGTTCTCTGTTCTAAGGAAAACATCCCTAGTCTCCCCAAAGTTACAATTCTCCAGTCCTGGCCATATTCTAATTAATCTTCTCTGCACTCTCTCCAGAGCAGTTCCTGTAATGTGGTGCCCAGAACTACACACAACTCCCAGTTGTGGCCTCACATTCCATATCCTTCTTTACAAACTTATCTACCTGCACTGTTATCTTTAGTGACCTGTATTTGCAAGCCAAGATCTCTCATTTCATCTACCCCTGTCAGTATATTCCCATTTGTGTATTCCCTTTTATTGTTTGACCTCCGTAAACGTATTACCTCTCGCGTATCAGAATTGAACTCCATCTGCTACTTTCCTGCCCACTCCACCAACCCATTATCATTTTGGAGCTTATAACTGTTCTCTAAACTATCTACTACACAGCCAGTTTTTGTCACCGGCAAATTTTCCAATTGTGCCGCTCCCACGTTCATGTCCAAATTGTTAATGTGTGAAACCAATAGCAGATGTCCCAAAACAAAGCCTTGTGGAACACCACTTGATACAGCTTTCCATTCGCAAGGGCAGCCATCAACCATTACCCTTTGTTTCCTGTTACTCAGCCAACTTTGGATCCAATTCAACACATTACCCTGTAGCCTGTGGGCTTTTACTTTTTTGACCAGTCTGCCATGTGGAACCTTGTCAGATGCCTTACTATAATCCATATAGATAACATCCACTGCACCATCTTTGATCCTCCTTGTCACTTCCTCAAAGAATTCAATCCAAATTTGTAAGGCATGACAAACAAAGGCTTAATTAAGCCATGCTGACTATCCCTGACTAGTCTATGCCTTTCTAAGTGACAGTTTATCTGATCTCTCGGGATTGATCCTAGCAATTTGCCTACCACCAAGCTATGACTAACTGGCTTATAATTGTTTAGCAATTCCTTTATACTTTTATAAACAACAGAACCACATTTGCATTCCACCAGTCCTCCTGCACCTTACTTGTGTCTAGTGAAGATTGGAAAATAATCCTCGGAGCCTCTGTTATTCCCTGCCTGACCTCCTTCAACATCCTAGGGAACAATCATTCACCCCTGGCAACTTATTCACTTTCAAGGATTCCAACTCTGAAAAACTCCTCTCTTGTTACGATTATTTTGTCCAATATTTCATGCTGCTCCTCTTGGATTACTATGTCTACATCATCCTTTTCCTTTGCGAATATGGAGACAAAAAATTCATTTAAAATTCTTCCCGTATCCTCTGCATCTTCACACAACTTCCCTTCTTCACCTCCTAAGTGCCATTTTTTCCTTAACTATCCCTTTTATTTTACAAATATATAAAGAGAAATGTCCTGTAAGCTCACTTCTTCTTGTGTTTACTGTACATTTTGTTTTTATTAATTGGGTAGTGATGTAGGGTGGAGTGGGTAGTTGTTTCATGGAACAGAAAGTCCTAAATGTTCTTGCTGCCCAGGGCCCCAGAATTCTTCTTTTTTTATCTGGTATTTCTGCATAATTATCTAGAGGCGACATTTCTGATAACATCAGATGAGGTGAGAGTGATTTGCCCTTGACATCAATTCTGCATTTGCTGAGAATGCTATTAAGGAGCTCTAGCAAAACTAGAGTCGGTGGGAATTGAGGATTAAGTTTCTGTTGGTTGTGCTGGGTATGACTCCAAAGGAAAATAAGGTCAATCATCTGGACTCCTGGGCATCATTTGAAGGATGGTAGTGTCCCAGGCCCAACCATCAAAGCCCACATCCCCTGAATGTTTAAAAAGCTGTGACACTGGAAAGTGTGGGCCAGTAGAGACCAGTTATTTACCCACACCATTTCCAAGAGACCCATTTCAAAGGCAGACATATTAGAAATTGCTTATTTTTTGATCTCCAGTTGATAATATTAATAAAAGATTTTTTGTTTTAAAATCAGTGAATGTTAAACGAAATCATCATAGGTTTTAAAAAAATTCTTTTGGAGGCTTTAGAAATTTCGAGCAGGTGTTGGAAATTTACTCACTCAATTGCAAGTATACAATTTGATTGTTACTAAATGGTAAATGATAGTAAATGCAATTTAAGCAAAAATACAAGGAACGGTGTTAACCAGTTTCTGATTTTACAGGTCATGACCGAGTTGTTAGTTTAAACAATCCTCTTTTGTTTATTAGCCTTGATAATCACTGAAGCATCTTATTTAGACTCGGATAAAATAGAAAAATTGTACGTTGTAACAATAGTTTTCTTTATTCCACATGAAATTGAAGAATGGAAAAATTGGAGATGATTCCAAAAACTACATTGCAACACAAGGCTGTCTTCAGAATACAATCAATGATTTTTGGAAGATGATTTATCAGGAAAACACACACGTCATTGTCATGACAACCAAAGAAGTAGAAAGAGGAAGGGTGAGTAAAATCTTACCTGTGGATAAAATATTTACAGCTAAAATTAGCAACATTTTTTATTAAAAATATTCTTTTAAAAATAATTGACTAAAAGGACAAGATTTTATTGAAGATTTGTAGAATGTACACATGCTTAGCCCACATCAGAGGATAGAATTAGACTTGGGCTCTGAGTGTCTTGAGAATTAAATATTCTGCTGACTATCATTATCAAGCTCACATGTAAGTAATTTTTTAAAGCATCTCTACCTGTATCAGAGCTAGCCATCATACTTATCTCTGCCCTGCTTCTCAACAGCATTTTTTTTTTAAAGAAAGTGAAACAAATCAAAAGATGGTGATGGATATGTAAGAGTACAGCATGTTGTACAAAACAGCAAAAACCAATAGGCCAGTGCCAACCCCAGTGAAACCAGCAGGGTAAGATGTCCCGTTACATCAGTCATCTCATTTGTACAACCATAACAGTGCACATGCTGTTTGATGTGCATCTTAGAAATTCATACCTCCTTCATGCTTGAGTACTTCAACAGACCACTATCTTGGGTTGAGGAGATGACCAGTTTTCCTCTGTGCCACCACTGTACATCCTACCACAACCTCCTTTCCCTCAAGATCCCATACACGTTACCATTCTAAGACTCATTCACAAGGGGCCAATATCAACATCTTTTGAAAATGTTGCTCCGTTTGAAGAGTTAGTACCAGTTTTCTCAAACTATATTTGCTGCCTTTGGGTCCACTCATGTCTGCAAGTATTCTTTTAACATATTATTTTACAAAAGCAATCGTTTGCACGTTTATAGCACAGTTTAATACCTTGAAAATTTGTTGACTTAAACGTAGAGCTTAAAGCTTGTGTGCCAATTGTATGAATTCAACTGGTCATATTCTGTTGAAGCCACAGGAGTTTCTTTAAAAAAAACTTGTGCAAAGTACTGAGATTCAGACATCATAAATAATTGCAAAGAATTAATATTTGAGAAACATTCCTTTCTAAGCAGTTGCTCAAATAGGCCAAATATCCTTAATGATCTATCAGTATGGTTTGCTACACCACCTGGGTATCTCTTCACCAAATATCAATGTTGAAATGAAGATAGGTACATTTTATAAAGGAATGCATGTGTCGTGGAAATGCATTGCCAACTGCAGGGCAGTATAATCTCAGGAGTCAGTCTGCACATGTACATCCTGTGTTTTTTAATAGCTTGACTAAGTTTTCATTCCAAGAGATGTAAACTGCTGATATGCTCGAGTTTCATTCAGTGTTTTAGCCTGTCACTTTGCCCCAGAAGTATAACACCGTTGCAGAGTCCCCTTAAAGTTATAAATCGAATTTGTTTGTAAATGAGTGTGCTTTTTTGTTGGCTTTTAAGTTGCTTTGGTTTAGTTTGGTGTATTTTGCCTATATTTTCTACGGAACATTGGCAATGTTCTCTGGTTTTTCACCTCTGATTTTTCACCTCTGATAGTTTGAGGTGTACAGTACCGGTTAAAGCAATTTTTTTGCTAAATGAATGAACGATTTAATATTTATTATGAAATATTACTTAAAAAAATTAATTACCAAACAATTTGATGTAAGCAGCCAATTCTTAAAATGAACATTTCTTTTGGTATGAATAAAGGAATCTTGGCTGAAATTTCATGTTGGCATTGCGAGTCTCTCCTTTCGGCTAGAGACCTGACAGAAAGCTTGAATTGCCTCCGCTGGGGAAGATCCACTGAAGTTAAGTGCCCATTAGGCATTTCATTGGACAATGTCTGGTCTTCGCCAGGAGTCATGATGCCAATATGGAAACCCAGCCCTCGAGAGCTGCTGATCTTTATTGCCTAGGCACAGTAGTTGCTATCAGTAATGCACACACAGAGGCCTATGATCAATGAAGGACATAAACCACATTTGAGCAAGGCCAGGATGTAAGTTGCATAGAGAATTCATTACCTTGAAGGGAGGGGATCTGAAGAAAAGGTGGGGGTTGACTTTCAGTTGACTACCATTCTCAAGGCTGGTTCATCCGATCGGAGACGGAGTGCCTTGTGCAAGGCGTTTCTAACTTCTCTAGCCTACCCCTCCTCCAACCCCTACTGAAAAGAAAACAGAACCTCTCCCTGATTCTGAAAAACAATCTTGAAAAACAATCACACGTCACTGCTTGAATATCAGCAGGAAAGTTATCAACAGGTTTTCACACCCTAGACTTAATGGCGTAGAGGTGGGAAGGAGGCAGGGTGCCCAACCTTCACCTCAATCTCTTCCTGCCTCCGAATATTAAATATCTCCCATTCTTTCATTATCTTTGTGTTGTCAAGGATTTAGTTTTGAAACTCAGCCATCTTCTACACTGGGATGATTCTGCCATTAAAGGTGAAAGTTGCCATTATGTTGAATTTCTAAATAATTAACTTTTTCATCTGTGTCAGATGATGTCAGTCATAAGTATACTGCTTCACATATCAATCACAGCTTTATCATTTCAGTATTGGAAGATATCTGTGTCTGTGATCTTGTCATGGTGAAAGGAATATTCATTTCATATGTAATTGGCTTTTCAGCCTTCTGATTACATTACTATGGAAGATAAGGAGTCACTGGACTCGCAAGGTTAACTCTGCTTTCTCTCCACATATACTGCCAGACCTGAATTTCTCCAGCAATTTCTGCTTTTGCTTTAGATCTTCAGCATCCACAGTTCCTTGTTTTATTATGTTGGAATGAAATTAATATTGAGAAATATGAAATCCACACCACTGGGATCATCAGATCATTGTGGATAACTTTTTTTCTTCTATATGGGCAGCAATCACTGTCGGGTCATCGTTGACTGAAACTTTGGCATATGAATGTTTGTGCTGAACTACATGCTCGGAAATTGAGTAATTGTTTGTTTTCTGTTTGTTCCAGAATAAATGTTATCGTTATTGGCCAGATTTAGAAACAACAAAACTGTATGGTACAATTTCTGTGCGAAATCTGAAAGAACGCCTGGCGCAAGATTACATTGTCCGTGAACTGGAGGTTATACAAACAGCCCGGGTAACCATACCTTGATCAGAAATGTTAATTTACATACTGACTTGTTTCCTTATCCCACAGAGAATATAGAGAATGATGAGTAGTGATAGGAGAATTACAGATGCTGTAATCTAGTTAAGATTATTTCATGGGGTACTGAGGCTGTGTTAGAAAGCCGAAGGTGCCACAGTTCAGATCTAACATTAAATGGTGGTACAGTAGCTCAGTGGTTAGCACTGCAGCCTCACAGCACCAGGGACCCAGGTTCGATTCTAGCCTCAGGCGATGGTCTGTGAGGAGTTTGCACGTTTTCCCCATGTCTGTTTTGGGTTTCCTCTGGGTGCTCCGGTTTCCTCTGGGTGCTCCAGTTTCCTCCCACAGTCCAAAGATATGCAGGTTAGGTGGATTGGCCATGCTAAATTGCCCATAGTGCCCAGGGATGTACAGGCTAGGTGGGTTACCCATGGGAAATGCAGGGTTACAAGGATAGGGTAGAGGTGGAGGTCTTCGGAGGGTCAGACATGATTTGATGGGCTGAATGGCCTACTGCCACACTGTAGGGATTCAGTTCTATTCTATAAAATCCAAGGCCCTGTCAAATCTGTTCGGTTGATTGCAAAAGATTCTCCAATACCATTTACAGAAGAGCAAGTCGTTCTCCCTTTTAGTGGGCCAACAGTTATCATTCAGTTAGCACCTCCAAAAACTAATTCCATTCCATTCGGTTTGTCAAACCTTGTCAACAAAATTGCTGTCTGTATTACTCATGTAAAAATAGTGACTACATTTCAGAAGTAATTCATCATCTGGGAAGTACTTCATGTCAAACAGCTTTAAAAAAGAAAGCTGATGCTGTAGGTTTTTGGAGGACAGTGATCAGAAGCTCCAACTAAACCTCCTCCCTATTCTCCTGTCCTGCAAAAATTGAGACTATGTCAGTTTATTTATAGAACTTTTTATACCAGCTAGTGAATTACGGCAAGAAAAACATTTGGAGTATATTGTACGGATTTGAATTTGGTGCTGCTTGGAGTAGGATTTTTGTTAATTTGTGACTTTTGTGTTCTGGAGGAATATTGGGGCACATCACAGATAATGCAGAGTTACGTGTTAGTTACTTTCCAATTTCCACAGTACCACTGGTCCAGTAAATTTTTTTTAAGATGACCTTGTGGACTGTTCGGGGGCAAGAATCTAGTACTTACCAAAGCCACCTACACAGTTATATTGTTTTGGCAAAGGAGGACAGCTTGTACAGGTGAAAAATAACATTAGATCATAGATGAAGTAAAAGAAAAGAATAACAACAAGGATTAAAATATTATTATTGGAGGAAGGAAGTATTTGTTATTATTGTTACTATTGTTACTGTTACATATATTCATTATATTGTGATTGCCTAGATCTAAACTGCTAGCTGTGAAATAACACTTCTTTTTGCGTTTGATCACAAAAGTGAAACAAATGGAATTGCAGTGATGCCAAACCTCAAAAACCCAGAATTCATTTAAGAATCACTTTCAGAACCTGATAATTCCCCCAAACAATTTTATTTAATAATCATTAATTCCTGATGAGATTTACTGAGCAGTTTTCTTAGGGAAAAATTGAATTGGCATACAGACTTCGCTGTTTTTCTTGTTGCTAATAGTGCAGAATTATTGTCTGGAAATATGTAACAATTGCTAAAACCCATGTTGCGACTCTTCAGAGAATTAAAAAGGAGCTGACTAGCATTTTATAATTTTATTTCACACAGAAGGAAGCTCCTAGACACACCTGGCACTATCAGTATCTCAGCTGGCCAGATCACGGAGTGCCCAATGAACCAGGAGGAGTACTGAGTTTCCTGGACCAAGTAAATCGGACACAGCAAAGCATTCCAGATACTGGCCCTATTGTAGTGCACTGCAGGTACTTGGATAATTTCAGGCCTGAGTTCAGATCTCTGTACGCCGGCCACGATACACTGTCCCTCCTGAAATCGGAACCTGTAAGGGTTTTGAGGCTAAAAGACGATTCAGTAACTGGTCGAAAACTGAACCACTATTCCATTCGCTGTATCATTACATTGGGAATCAACTAGTTGTGTATCTTTGGCTAGATCTTGTTGATAGTTTCTTTTATTTACGATAGTGCTTAATTAACCTTTTCAGTAGAGTAGCTAGCCAAGTATGGTGTGTGTGATAGTTTTATTGAATTGGCGATTGCATTTTTTTGACTGGCATATGGGGCATTTGTATGTCTGGTTATCCACTTGAAAGTCAAATCTAACCTTTCAATAACTAACTATTCTTTCTTGACTGTATAAGGAAATTTATAAGCAAGAAAATAAACTGTTAAGAACCTAAAAAGAGATGTCCATAAAAATTGTTCATGAAAAATCGAAGGTTTAATTTATGCTACTCTCAAAAAGGTGCTCAGGTCAGTTTTTGGGCCTTGTTAGATCATATTAATGATGTAGATCCTTGTATCTCCAAGAGCAGCTTGTTGGGAAAGTGCAAATTTACTTTGGACTGGCTTGAGTGATACTCTGGAGTCAGTCTAATGAAGTATTCCACTTTTCACTATGAATTTCCTTCACTCCAGATCTAGATGCAGAATGGGTCAAATTCAAAGATCAGAATTCCTGTTAGGAGGAGGTGCATTAAACAGCCATTTTGTGAATGTAGGCCAATTGGAGATCCAGGTCTAGATGGTCACCTACTTTTCCAAAGAAAAAGAATCTATTTTTTTGGGCTTTTTAAAGGAAATAAAATGGAGGCGTGTAAGTTGTTTATTTTTCTGGAGTGGACTCAGCATTACCTTCCCCCAAGGAGTTTTCTCACCTCTGGAACAAGGCTGGTGCCATAATGGGCTCCAGGTGTTATGGCACCTGTCAGAGGCATTCATGTTTAATGACCTTCCTCTGACCTACATACTCTGGGTTGAACAACGGGAAAATTCCTGGCATGGGTTTAACTGGCTGTAGGCTTTCCAAGTCTTAGTCTAGATACTTAATAGAAAAACAATCTTCTTTTTAAATTTGAAATTTAGAATATGGGCAAACCACAACAGTTCAAATATGCAAGAACTGATTAACTGTTTTGATGGTGAAGAGGTTCCTTACAGAGCTCTGAGCCCCTCTGTTGATGCGACTGGATTTACGACACCAAAACTGCTCACATTTGAGACAAGACTCAAAATGGATAGAATCCTGTAAGACTTGGGTTTCTTTTCCCCTTGGACCATATGGTTCAGAAATATCCTTTTTTGACCCCTGGAATTTTGTGTTCCTTGTAGTTCATTATCAATCTTAAGGCAGTCTGCACTCTCCACACTCATTTCTCAATGCTAGAACTCCAATCAAAGCTGCTCGAATGTTAATCTCCATATAACCTACTTTCCTACTAACACCATTTTTCCTCCTCCAGTGCTGGAATTGGAAGAACAGGAACCATAATTGTTATAGATATGTTGGTAGCTGACATTAACAGACAAGGTAAGAAACAGTCAAGCCAGATAAAAATAAGATTAATAAGCAGGATATTGAGTCATTTACACTCCAGTTAGGTTTTGAACTCTTCGTTATGCATGAAAGAAAGTACGTAATTGTCTCTCATAATGTTCAATGTTTGCAAGTAACCATTTTTCTCAAGTGTTATTACTGTTCATCATCTTTGCTTCCTTTCCTTTTCTGAAGACATCAATTCGGATTTGATGTATGTTTGTCTATGATAATTGGGGCAAAACTAACCTAACCGTGATATTATGTCACTAAATTCTTGGTGACACCCTAGCAACCACCATCTTGATAGGGTCTTTGGATTGATACCTGATATGTGGGTATTATAATAATAATACTATCTCAGTTGTAATTTTTGATATAAATGGACCCAGCAGGTACCACCTATGTTTTGTTCATTTTAGATTGGATTGAACAACCAAACTGATGGACCAAATAAGGTTTTTCAAAATATTGCCACCTTTTCTTGCTACAGGTTTGCGACACCTAGTCCCAGAAAAATACTTCAGGAAGCTGCTCGTTCATTGTATAACCTCCTCTGCCCTAGATCAGGACTGTCAACTCCACTTTGTCAAGCGTAGTTTACCAAGTCAAATTAAATGAGGTCTGGGTCTCAAAATGCCTCCCATCTCATTCAGTAATGACAGCTGTATGCAGTAGCACTCTAAACACCAACTCATTTGTGCAAAGTGTTAAAACTAACTCCATTTATTCTTATTTGTGTATATTTGTGACATTTTTTTCCTGGTTAGTTGTCCTAGCGCCTATTACTCCAGTTTTAATCTTGACACTAATAATGATATTCAAGCAAAGTAAACATCAGGGAAATCCGTGTGAATTTTCTTCCTGAATTTGAGTCTGTATTTAGCACCCTTGTCATTGACTCTGAGACCGCTAACACTCAAATCTGAAATCTGTCTGATTCAACTGCCCATTAACCTGATGGAGATTCACTCATTTTTAGCTTGAAATTCAATTTAGGCAAGAAAATTCTCTCTGCTAAAACAGAGAAAGAACAGTTTCACTTCATGTGTCCATATAGGCAATATCATTGTGGTTCTTATCAATTTTACTGTTCACACCTTGCAACGTTTCTGAACCTCTGCAAAGTAAATAACCAGAGAGATAACAGGTGCACTGCAATCATTCATTGACCATTTGGATGTTAATAGGCTAGAGAAAGGATTTCTGCTCATCACTGATAGGAATTCCCACCTCCGAACCGCTGGCCCAATCAGAGGTTAGATGCTCCAGTAACACGAATGGGGCCAGTAGCTGGTGCAGATTCTTCATTCAGACGTGAAGAGGTGAGCGCCAATGGATCAGCACTTTAAGTGTTTGGGAGTCAATGGGGTGTGCTCAGTGAGGAGTGTGATAGTTAGGGTTTGATAGGTTGTAGGGGACAGACAACCTGTGAAGCAGGAACATTCAAGGAAGCCAGTCAAGGAGAGACTACCCCCTGCCATGACAACCGCTAGAAGGAAACTGGCAAGATAAGGCCCTCGAGTGGACATTGGCTTAATTTACACCCTAGTGAGCTGGCCACCTAAAATTACCTGTCGATAGTATAATTACAGTTAGACAGCAGCAGGAGGAGAGAATTAAATCCAGCCGATTTTGTTTCATTCACCTTCTCTCTGCTGCACACCTCTTGGGATACTTCCGTTTGAGGTGAAATGTGTCACATCTGAATACATGGTAGATTTTAAAACTATCTGACCAATTGCGTTGCTTCCATTCAAGTGTGAAATTCATCTTTACTAGTGTTTAATTTTTGATATTACACATTATTTTTCCATCTGTCTTGCCCTTCATCTTCCATCCCTTTCTAAATGTGTTTTCTTAAAATATTATTTGCTTGCATGTTTAATGTCAGAAATTAGAGTCTGTGCCTGGCAATATGCAGAATCTTGCAGTTCAGTGCACACAAAGAACTAGATGGTAGCCTGAGAAAAAGGCATTGTAAAAGAACTTGCAAATAAAACAGATTTTACGAAAGCCATGCGTAAAATCATACTGTGCATGCATGTAAGAAAATGAATACATTCTATATCTTCTAAGAGCATTTTTTTAAACCAGTAACTAGAAAGACTTGACAGCACCAGAGAGAAATGCCTTGGGTTATGGAGGGAATGGGAGGAGAGAAAGAAAGAGCAGGAGGAGGTCCAAGTTGATGTCTGCTCAACCATAAAGAAAAAGGCAAACACATGTAAAGACATGGTGAAAGGGGACAGATTGGAAAAGGACCTGACGGTAATGTTTTCACACAGAAGGTAGTGCATGTATGAAATGAGCTGCCTAAGGGAGTGGCAGACACAGGTACAATTACAATAACAATATTTGGAAGGCACCTGGATAAGTACATGAATAGGAAGGGTTTCGACAGATATAAGCCAAATGGTGGCAAATGGGACTAGGTCGGATTGGGATGTCTGGTCGGTGCGGACAAGCTGGACTGAAGGCTCTGTTTCCATGCTTATAACTCTGACTCCGTATGAGGTTTGTGGAACTGTGCTCAGTTAAGGGAACAAGAACTTGAGACACTTTTTATATTTGACACAGCTTCAGTTTTGGTTCTGGATACGCAGTGCCCGTACATCACTTCCACACACATTGTGGAAACAGTTTTGTAATTATCCCAACAGCAAAATCATGAATTGTTCACTTTACTAACATAAAAATATGTAATTCTCCTGCTACCAAACTACAAAATTGCCAAATGTAAAAGCACCTCCTAGACTGCCTTAGCATCATCCGCTGCATTTTAGATCTCAATAAGAAGTATTCAATAATCAATAACACGAAGTCTGGAAATACATATCTAGGAAGAGAATTCAGCTGTTTTGATTTTCTACTGAAGTTATGACTGTTTTTTAGGAGTACTGCCTTTGAAATTTCAGATGTTAATTTCAAAATCTGATTAGAACAAGCATACAACGTTAGACAGAAGTTCTACAACAGTTATGTTCAAGCTCAAAACATGTTTTATAAGCCTTTATTCAAGACTTGTTCAGTGACCTTCATTCTGTTTCCCCTTCTGTAGGTTTGGACTGTGATATTGACATCCCTAAAACGATTCAAATGGTACGAAAACAAAGATCAGGCATGGTACAGACAGAGGCTCAGTATAAATTCATATATATGGCTGTACAACAGTATATTGAGACAGTTCAAAAAAGACTACAGGAGGAACAGGTAATTATATCACTAACCAATTTGAGAAAATTTTATTACTTTCAGTAGAAAAGACTAAGTCCTTTTTTGCTGATTAGTAAACCTTTAGAACCAATTCATGTCTTTAAAATAAACAGGGAGAACTTTTTTTGGCATACTGACAAAAAAGACTGGTATTCAAAGTATTTTACTTTATATCTACCAAATTTTTAATGCGCAAACTTAATTTTGAGCAAGAATGGATCAGCTGAGATTTCCTAAATCCTATAATATTTGTGTTGTCTAAAATTAGATTAATTTTATTAACTTTCTTTCCATTCAAAACACACACTGGTGTATTTTCTAACTTGGTTCTTTAAATACTTCAGTACCATCTGCACACTACAGTAGCAATAAACTCAGTTGTGTCAATGGATGTGTCATTTTGATCAGAGCTAGTCTTACTGTATGCTTGTGTTAGCTGCCCTTAGGCAAAAGTCAGGTTTAAACCTGCTTTGAAACATAACTTGGGCATGATGCATTTTTTGTGAAATGTGCAATTACTACCCTAAGCATGGCATAACCTTCCACTAGCTGTAATCATGTGGTGTACCACCAAAATCAAATAAAATTTTTCACTATTTCAAATTTCTTTAAAAAACTGGTTACTAAGGTGTATTTAGCTATGAAGGTCTTTGAGGAAAAATGTAAAAATAGTCGCAAGGAGAAGAGTAAACCGCTTACCTTGTAAAGCCAGTATAAGAATTGACAAACACAGAATTCATGTCAATTTATTTCTTCTTGCAGATAAGGTGGGCATTGTTTATGATCATTGATTGTTCATTTTAACTGTGCTTGAGATATAGTTAAATGGCTTGCTAGGTAACTTCAATGGGCAGTTAAAAGTTAACCACATTGCTTTGGTATGGAGACTCACGTAGGCCAGACCTGGTAGGGGTGATAGTATCTACCTCCCCTGCCCTGCCAAAGGACATTAGTGAAGCAGATTTCTGTGGTAGTCTGAGAGCTTCAGAATCATCGATGTTGCTGCTAGCTTTTTATTTCAGATTCATTTAAGTATGTCATGAAGGGATTTAAACTCAGGATGACAGTTAATGGAGGTGATTGGGATCTCATGAAAGCTGCAGGTCTCCCCTCGTAGATAGGATAGCTTAATTCTGCAAGATCTTTTCAGGGTTTGCTCATCATGCTTCCTGCATGGTGAGACCCTAAATCGATACCTTGTTCTCCCTCCTATCTTCAAAACGATGAACGTTTTGGAGCCTTCTTCAGATTTTGGAGAAAAACCATGGAGAAAGAGTTATTGTTACCAAAGCAGCATGAAAGAAACTACCAGAAATAGAGGAGGAGAGGAAACCGTAGCAGGAAATTTTTGAGGGATCCTGCCTAGAAAGAACATTCTCCAAGATCTGCTTGTTTCGGGTAATAAGCTCTTTTAACTTACAGAGCAGTGTTGCCTGATAGACAGACATGGGACGCCAATTCGCATTTTAAGACTCAAACTGGGCAGCACATACCCCATGGCAAATGAGATCCATGCCAGCCCTCCCTTTCTTCTATACCTGGAAATTAACCAAATTGCCCAATGATTAAAATGGGCCAGAGATCTGGTACAATTATTTATGTCACAGTCTACTGAATAGACATTGATATGTGTTTGCATAAATAATGTCACCAAAGCCACAGATTCCATTCAGCTTTTACTGCTCAGGCTGTTTAGTCTGCCTATTAGATGTCTGCGGCTAGTATATAAATAAAAGCCCAGATCTTGGGGGGGAAAAAGATTGCAAATTGTCTCCGTTTTGTTCAGCAATACTTTAAGTGTTCACGTTGTTCTTCATTTGACCCAACTGGTAACTGCAATGTTTATTTGCAGTCAGGAGACACGCGGCTCACCAGAAATGTTTTGAAATAGCACTCAGATTAATGTGCGAATACATGAGCAAATCTAGCAAGTAGACAAAAAGTGCCTTTTGTTCTTCAGGTTGAGTAAAACTTCTGTTATAAGACAGAGGAGGACAAACTCATTCTTGGTTTGCCAAATTTTTTGGAATAACCATTCTACGTTGGGCACAAAATATTGTCACAGTTTTCAGAGTGCACTGGCTACCAACTGTTAATCTGGTGAAATCCAGCTGCGCAGGGAGCCAGACTGAAGTGAGTGTTACACGTCCTCCATATGCAAAGGCCTTACGGTCTTCAATCATGCATTTCAATATGTATCACCCATGTCATGCCAGATCTCTTCCCCTGGAGTGTCCTCTCACTCACTGTAAACAAATTCCATTGGAGATCTTTTTAGTATATCTAAAACTAGTAACTTTTCCCTGTCACGTTACTTTTGGACTTCACACTTTTTTGCTTATAAAAATTATTTGCTGCTGAATGTTTTGTAAACAATCATAGGTTTCTTGCTTGTTCAGGAATTACCTACCAATCAAGTAGAAAACAGAAATGATGTTCAATCAATTAGCACTTATACTGTGGTAGAAGTAGAGTTTTTCTGACTAAATTTGAACCAAGAAGTAGAAATACCTGGTCAAAGGCTCTCTGGTCAATCATAGCCCCAAAGATAGTACAAAAGGAGGAAAAATGTATCTTTATTATTAAATTTTTATTTACAAATAGTAATAGCTCAATGGAAACCGATTTATTTTGTACACACTAAATTAATCAAATTTTTCAAATTAATTGAAAACAAAAACCATATCTGCAGAACATAATCCCAAACTAAACTAGTTCCACCTGTCAGGTCCTGGCCCGTATTCCCCCACCCCCCCCACCGCGCGCCCGAACCTGTCCTATTAATGTACTTATCCAAATGTGTTTTAAACATTTTAAACACCCACATCCACCACTTCCTCGGGAAGTTCATTCTCTACGCGAACCACCCTCTGTTTTTTTAAAAAAAAAAAAAAAATTTGCTCTTCATGTCTTTTTTAAATCTCTCTCCTCTCACCTTTAAAACGTGCCCCCTAGTCTTGCAATCCCCCATCCTAGGGAAAAGACACCTATCATTAACCTTATCTATACCCCTCGTGATTTTATAAACTTCTGTAAGGTCACCTCTCAACCTCCTACACTCGAGTGAAAAAAGTCCCAGCCGATCCAGCATTTCTTTTATAACTCCAACCTTCCATACCCGGCAACATCCTGGTAAAACTCTTCTGAACTCTCTCCAGCTTAATCATCTCCTTCCTATAAGTAGGCAACCACAACTGGACACAGTACTCCAGAAGATCTTCAATCCAGCAGAGTTATCATAGTATAAGATCACCTCATGAAGCCAAGCCACAGCTTCTTTTTACAGCACTAACATTCAAGTAAGTGAGGAATTAGTATGTCCCAAAGCCTTGTTGAGAAGCTGTGGAGAGAAGTTAACTAGGTGGCTTGGGATAGGCTGGTAAGGTCAAGGTTGGGGGGTGGTTGGGGGAGGTTGCGGGGGGCAAACAAAGATGTTGTGGTTCAGGGACGAGCAAGGATGTTGTGGGAGTACATGAGTTTTAGAGAGGGTTTGTTTTAGAGTTACAAGAGTAATTCTTTTCTGGGTAACTATTCAGGCAAGTAAGTTGGACCCGCCAAAGCTTCTAACTCTGAATTAGAGACTTCTTATTATTGCCCATCAGAAATTTAAACTTTCTGAGCAATTCACAGGTAGTCAGCATGTCTGAACTATTGAGAGATCTTTTAGCATATCGTTCAGCATACTTTGGTATTTCCTAACCAGAAGATCTGGGCCATGTTACCAGTTTTGAAGGCAGGAGTGGCCCCAAGTACAGGGTTTAGATCTTTTTGGCAAAAATTCAGGTGTCAACATATGCATGAGTTATCTGTAAAATTCATAATCTTTTGTCCCAAAAATCAGAGGTCAACTTTTACGTGAGATCAACCATTACTAGAGACAGATAGCAATAACAATCTTTTCTTTAAGAAACATGACTGTTAAGTTTTACTTCATGAGCCTTAGATTTTGTCAATGGCTAACTGATCTGTGAAGAATTTTTTTCTGATCCAAGCTGCCCTATTTAGGATATTTCAGAAGTTAACCTGTTCCTTGACTGTCAGGCAACTTTTACACACCCCACCCGTACACAGCTATTTAGTTTCATTGTCTGCTTAAAGCCGTGAGAGGAAATTTGTTAAGCACCCAGGAATAAGGACATTTAAGTAATGTCCTTTTAGGTCAAGACATTTACCAATCTCATCTGGTCCAGCATACATGTGACTATAGACTCATCAATATGGTCAGTTCTTAACTGCCCTCTGAAATCACCAAACCACATCTGATGAAAGCATAAATAGAAAAAAAGTAACCAAACCTTTCGGGGTGAACTAAACAAAAGAGAATGTATCCTTTAAAATGAAAGCAATTAGTACCGAAATGTCTGGTAAAAAATTTGTAAATATATGGCAACACTACTGATGACTTTTAAGCATTTGAATATTGTTTCTCCCAGAAAAACAAAACAAAGGAACGAGAGTATTCAAATATCCACTATCTTACGGACAAAGCAAAAAACAAAAGATACGCTGCCCCATCTCGAGTTTTTTCCACGTAAGTAATTTTGTTTTTGGTACATTGAAGAGATCCTGTTAGAGCATTTTACATATTGTAGCTTGCATTTTCCACTAAATTTCACATTTGTACAGGACAGTTCGATTGAAAGTCACATTAGCACAAAACAATTTGCTGTCTCCACCACCAACGCTCAGCAGAAGTGTGTACCACAAAACGTACCAAAGAAATTTACCAAGGCTCCTTAGACAGCAACATCCAAACCCATGACCAGTACCATTTAAAAGGACAAATGCATGGGAACACCATTACATGCAAGTTTACCTCCAAATCACTCACCATCCTGACTTGGAAATATTACAGTTCTTCAGTGTTGAGTCAAAATCTTTGAACTCCTGGAATGAATTGAATTAGCTTGATTGTCGCACGTACTCCAATGAATACAGTGAAAAGTTTACAAGTCGCCACATTACAGTGCCATCTTGGGTATAAAGGTACCTAGGTACAGATTCTTAAGAACAAATTCTTAGGAAAAATAAAATTGAAAAGAAATGACATGTCCAGCATTACAGATCATAGGAATAATTAGAAAAATAAAGAAAAAGAAAGTTCAGAATAACAGTCTTTCCAGCCCAGTCCACACCAGCACCTAGCATCTAGTAACTGAAAGAGAGACTTCCACCACCTCACCACTGCACGCGCCGGACCCACCAACGTAGGAGTTGGCAAATTTTACGCATGATCTCATTGCCACTGGGCCCACCTCATTGATGACGTTGATCCCACATTCGCTCCGCTGCTGCCACCACCTCACCAATAACCAGAAGTCCCTACTCTGGGGCTATCGTGACTGCAACTAGTAGTCCCTGGCTCCACTGCTGCCTTGACATCAGGACACCCTGCTCTGAGCATATGCTACCGCCAATGCCACACCAGCACCAGGGGGTCCCTGCTCTGGGCCTACTGCCACCAGGAATCCCCGGCTCCGCTGCCAGGCCGCCACCATGCCGAGTCCCGCCTTGGCTACGGATGTCACATTGCCGGCACTGCCATCTTGAAAATTCCACTGCTGTGCTCGATCACTGGAGTTGCTACTACCGTCGGCCCTGAACTCCGGGAAGATGTCCTTGCAGCCCCGTCACTGTCTCCAGTCGCCAGGAGAAGCTGTGTCCGCCACTCCGCAAGCGGCTCTCTCTTGCAGCCACACCGATGCGCCACAGAAAAGAGTAAATAAGAAAAACAGGAGAAGCAAAAGAAAAGAGAAAAAACAGATGAGCCCCAGGAAAGAGCTCTCACGCAGCCCTGCTAATCCGTCGCCACCTTGAACTTGTATCAGTGTTGGCCTGGCTAGCAACAGCCACATCCCATGAATGAATAAAACAAAAATGTGGAGTTCAGGTGCAGATTACGTCTAACAGAAATCAAGTCTCTGATCATTTATGCCACCGTAAGATACGTTGTCATGCAGTTGATCCCACCTGCAGAACTGGCCATACCTCACTCAGATTACACTAGTTGGCATGTGTTAAAAGCTTTTGTAAGTAGGTTTTTATTAACTTAGAAATGGACTGGTGTGTGTCACTACTGGTAGCAAATGGTTCACTGTTTTCTTTAAGTCATTTCAGTCATTTAGGATCAACTTAATCACAACGTTTTAAAAAAAATTTATTTTTCATGATCAACCCAGCTTCAGCTGTATTAATCAAAATCCACTTAGCATTTAATCAATAAATATTTTTAAAACTTATTTTAAATTAAGTTCTAAGATATTACCCAATTTGTGTTGAGTTACCACAGATTTTGCATTTGGCAATATGGAAATTGGGAATAATTGAGGAAAAGGTGCTCTTTATTTCTAGCCCAGTTGTTTGCAAAATTTTAACTTGGATTGCAAATTGCATCCAAAGTAAAACCTACCCAGTGGCCTGGGAAGTACTGTAGGACGTCCTCTATAACCACTGTTTAATAGAGGATTCAAACAGATTACCAGCTCCTACAAAGTGTAGACTTCTGAATTTATATCAACTTTTGTACAGTAATGTCACTCAGTGTGAGATCCAGGATTTAGATTTTATTCTTTGGCAGGACTGCATGATGACATTTTAATGGGAATTGAACAGTATATTGCTGCTGAGACCAATGCAACAGAAAGTGAAGCGATAAAATGAAGTGGAACATACCGCCGATTTGTTGGGCATGTAAGGAGAAAGCTGATTGTGAATTCAGTTGGCTGTTCAACTGATTTCATGGCTATCACAAAAAAAATCAAAGAAAATTAGAGCTGGAATAGTTAACCGTGATCTGCCGTTCAGTAAGGCCATATCTGATTTGATTGTGGCCTTGCCTCTACTTTCTTACCTGGCACTCCTCCTAACACTTGACAAACATCTGCGCAATGAGCAGGTGTGCAAATGACTGTTCACAGATGTGTTCACTAACACAAAGGTCCCCCACTAGCATCATTTAAAGGGCCTGGCATCCAGGTGAAATGCTCTTATCTGACCTCTGCAGCAAAATTAATGCAAGTGCTGTGGCTTGCTTTTACAAGTTTTGTGGTGAGCTACTGCCCTTATGCAGGGAAGCTAGAGGACCATATGCTGCACGAGAAAGATGGTTATTTTTTAAGTTGCTCGTAAGATGTGAGCATTGCTGGCTAACCCAGCATTTATTGCCCTTCCTTAATTGCATTTGAAAAGGTGATAGTGAGCCGCTGCCTTGAAGCACCGCAATCCATGGTGTAGGAATGCCTACTGTGCTGTTATTAAAGGAGTTCCAGGATTTTTACTTTGCAGCAATAGCAAAGTGAAGGAAAAGCAATATAGTTCTGAGTCATATGGTGTGTAGCTTGGAGAACTTAATGTGATTGCAGCAACTCTAGACCTGCAATGTGTCCAGCAAATAGAGCAGGAGCGACCGAGAAGGGAAGGAAGTTCTGTGAAGAGGGAAGTGGAGGGTGGCCTACCCACTAAAGGATTTTCCAGCATGCTTTCTCACCTTCACCTAAAACCCCAAGAATACTGCCCGAGGTAACTCAAGTTCAACATTGAGGTGGTCATAGAATTGTGCTAATATGAAACAAAGGAAATGGATGCTGGATCTGAACCAAACAAAAAACAGAATTTGCTGGAGAAACCTGGGTCTGGCAGCATCTGTGAAGAGAAAACAGAGCCAACGTTCGAGTCCAGTGACCCTTCTTCAGAACTGTATTGCTGCCTTCAGCACAAGAATGAGGTCAGAGCTGCCAGTGGCCACAAAAATCACTGGCATTCAACGTTATATGTCTGGATCTATCCAAGCTGGGAAAAGTGATCAATCCAACAATCCATCTGCATGTTTGTGTGTGGAGAGGTGAATAAGTTGTTGGCGTCAGTAGAGAGAAGCCATTGAGAGGACCAGTGGCTTTGCTAGGTTAGGATTCCTAATGTTTCAGGTGACATTGACAACGTGCACTTGGCTCTGCTGAAAAATTTGCGATGGAGAGAGCTATAGGAACTGTTAGGGCCACTCTCAAGCCATGTGTAGTTGATACATGATCACACGTAAAGTGCTTAAACAGGAGGGACCCCCTCAGGCTGGAAAAAGCCTCACCTGTGGCATGGTTGCCTCTTGCCTCTGGTAAAATTCAAGAGGAAATCGGTAGGTGACATTCACCGTATTGCCACCACCTTCGTGTAGCAAACATTTATCTTTCTGGATGTGAGTGTATTATATTACAGAATCCAGCATTTCTCAAATGCAAGCACCTTTTTTAAAAAAAAAACTTGATCTGAAGTTTTCATGTCATTTACCTTGCTCATTGCTTACAAAATGTGTAATAGTTTATTTGATGCGGAGGTGCCGGTGTTAGACTGGGGTGGACAAAGTCAGAAGTCACATGACACCAGGTTATTATCCGACAGGTTTATTTGAAATCACAAGCTTTCGGAGCAGTACTTCATTGAATCATTCAATTATGGGACCACACCTACAAGGAAATGTGCTGTCACTGTCAAGTATACAGAGGATGCAAATGATTTACAAACCCTCTGTCGTCTTGTGTTGAGCAATTTATGGATACATTTGTGTGACGTTGCAAAATTTAAAAATCCTTATTGTTATTCTCCTTTCGTAAAGGTTGAAAGAAGAACCATCCTGTCTGTATGAAAATTTAAACATCAAAAGTACCAAATCGTCAGGGAGTAGCAACACCAAGAGATAAAAGCACCAAGGGTAGAGAGGTTGTATGTATAATAAGCACATTAACAATACACATTAACAGTACACATTACTTAAAAACTCTGTTTATAATGCACATACAAAATAGTAACATATGAAAATACAGGTGCAAGTGTTATCATGTACATTGTTGTGAAATGTTCCTTGTTGAAGTGCATTCATGTTTTGGATGCTTTCTTCTCACCTGAGCACCCTATCACCCCAACTTCTCTTATCTTAGGCGTTACTACGATGGACCTCACCTTGTTCTTTTTTAGTAATTCCTTCACAGTACCCTTCCCTTCTGTGTTGCATTATACCCAGCTATATCTCCCTGCCTTAACAGCAATATTTTCTTGCTGAATTCCAGTGTTGCCTGTATTAGGTTTCCTCCATGACCTCCGGATCTGGGTGGTACTCTGTTATTCAGCACCGGTTACTCCTAGCGGTCTCCAACTCTGCTTCTTTTCTCACTCCTAACATTTATGCAGCTACCTGCCATTCTCTCTAATGGCCAATTTCTCCAGATCTCTCCTGATCCTTTCTCTCGTTTTGATACACACCAACTAACTCTGGCACTAATCTCCTTCCCCAACCTGATCCAGTGGGCCAATAATTATTCATCCATCTGCATTGATGTGTAGAATGTCTGTTCCCTCAAACAAGGGTCTCCCCAACTCATGGCTGGAGGTGACCTCCAGAAGTGGAGGTCCGTGTATTGGCGCATGATCACATAGCTTAGAGGGGACATTGCTGATAACTCTTACCCTCTTATGGCTCCCTGCCTGATTTAGTCCACCATCCAAACCACAGTAGACAGCAGGACTCGGATTGTATCACGTCTGTGTCCTTTATGCCCCATGACTTCACTTGTGCAATCCATCGTTACTATTCCTACCGATCCTCATAGATTCGTTTTAAGTTTGTCATTTTCTACAATCCAACCTGTATTCCTCATGCAAATCTCTTCCCCCTGGAGTTCAATTTCTACGCAGAAATGCTCTTTCTTTTCAAGCAAACTTCACCCTTCCACACGCATCATTGTGCTTCATCTGTTCTGAATGAAAGAGTAGACAACAGATAATTAACCTTGCCTTTCATATAAACTGTCCCACACACACTGCCTTCTGGATCTTGCAATTTCACAACTCTTCAAATCTTTACTAACTGGATCATTTCCTCACTCCAAACCTCTGGCTTACATCATCTACCACCCCACCCATCCTCGCTTTACCTTTTCTGCACTTCTCTCAAACACTTGCCTAAAACCACTGTATCTCACTTCCTGAGGGAATATTTTAGAAAACTGTATTCTCCTGTGATTTCAACTTCTGCAGGCACCGTGCCCCTGACCACCACCACCACCACATGTAATATTTCTTTTCCCCATTAGGTTTGTGAAGATAAACAAATACTAAGGATCCCTTTAAAAATTAAGTTATTTTCAGTATCAACTTTTCTGTTATAAATACAAACTACTTTTGCATTTACATTGCAAACTTCGTAGGAAAAATCTGATATTACTAATCACAATGATGAAGGATTGAATCATTATAAGATTTTGCAATGTTTATTTAATACACGTTTCTGCCTTCTAATTTCCCCTGCCCCACCTTTTAAACGTGAGCAGTAACGAGAATGATCCTGTCACCGTAATATCCGATTTTTTTTTTTGCTCTCTCTAGAATTACTTCAGTTTACGTAAAGCTGCTGCCTGCATTTGTAATGAGAATTGCTGCGTCCCAGCTTGCCTCTGGATCTCTATGCAGTGCAATTCTACAAACCAAATCTCTACAGAAAACTGCCTTTTAAAGACTGTTTAATTTATGAACGAGACATTTTTAAAAAATTATACTGTTTTGTTTTGTCAGCTTGTATTTATATATGTACTTTAAGTGCCTCTTCTTGAAATTGATAAATAATGGAGTTTAATTTTAAGATTTCATGACTGTCCAAACAATATGTTGCATGCATTTAGAAAAAAAGCAGAAATATTTGACCTGGAAAACTGTAAGCCCATGCATTTCATCACCTGCTGCACTGCATGTTTTTAAGATGTAAAAAGGTAAATCATCATGACGAAAAGTTAAACTATGACAACCAAATTTTGCAAATGTGTTTTTGTATCTACCTGTAAAACCAAGCTGCGCTGGTGGCACTGCCCAGCTTGACAGCAATTCTGATACTAAAGAAGCCAATCGCCTCAGCAGCAGTACCACCAGCAGGAACCATGTGGTACTGCAACAAGAGGAGTTTTTAAAAAACTGACTACAGTAATTGTTATTCATTGTTTTGCATTGCAATAATATTGTAACAATTTTGTAAATTTTAAAGTTGAGGAACATTTTGAGATTCTGTTATACTTGGATTTGCCCAAGCTTTCACTGGCACAACTCATTGCACATTACAACCTTGATAAAATGGCACTTCCCATATATTGTATTTGAAGTTAGTGGATATATCCACTAGCCAAAGATGAAGGTTTGTATGTTTTTCTTTAAAATTTATGTGTTGATCACGTCATTAATAAGGCATTCAGTGCTGAATGAAGACAATTTTCTTAAAAGGCTTTTTTATATAATAAAAAGATCACTCAAAGCAAATTTACTCCAGTATGATTGGTGGGTTCACTTACAATTTTGATATGCTTTCAGTGTTAATTGCCTAGATGTCAATGGGATGCTGTCGTCCAGCCACCAGTAACCACAATTCACTATGTATGTGTTAATATTGACTATTTATAACAGCACTTGTTAAATTGTACATCGGAACCTGCAGAAATAGCATATTTAGGAAAATGATGAAAGAGGAAGAAACTTTGTCAATGAGTTAACCTTCAAATTTACTTATTCTGCTTGTGGCTGATTATTGGCCAATTTGAGTTCTCTTCTGTCTTTTGATGAGAATGGTCTCTGTGTTTCAGCCAATGCAATACTTTATTTGCCATTTCAAGATTATTATTTCAGAAAATAAATTGTGTTTTATATGGGCACTGTTGTGAGAGCAGAGAGCCTCTGGTGCCCTTAGTGTTGTGGGAGCTCTCTCTCAATTCTAACGTTTCTTTATACTGTTCAGGGAGCATGTAAAACCCAATGATATTATTCTGGAGACCAATTTACAAATAGACCTGTCTGTTATTCCTCCAAGTTTAAACTTAGAATAGTGTTTCTGTTTCTAAATGAACTTAGTGTTTATGGAATTGTGAACTTTGCAAGCATTGCAAGAGCTCTGCAGCTCAATGAATGTAATGGAAGAAATTTATTCTTCCAAATTCACTTTAAAATATTTATGTATAAAAGAATGCATATTAATGCTGACACCCCTATTATAAAATCATGATTGATTAATTAATGGTAATTCATTAATTTTAAACTGACACACCCCAAGTATTTTGTTTGTGTGTTTGGGTACATCTCCTCCGTTTCTGAACATCCTAAACTATTTTTAACTATAAAGTAAAGTACATGTCTTTTACAGATTTCAGGTGTGTTTAATTCAGCGTTTGTCAGAATTCCTATTTCCTAACAGATTTTTCAGAGTTGCTGCAAAGAGAAATCAAGTTTAGAAGATGAAAACTAATACAAAAGCAAAATTCTACAAATAGAGAATAGCAAAAGCTGAAAAGTTCAGCACATGCAGGCACCATCTATGGACACAATCTTTGTTTGTTCAATCTCCTTGGCTGCTGTATCATGAAATCCTTTGTATTTAACCTCTCCTTTCCTCCACCCTAACAAACCACCTTCTTTATTTATCCTGCTCCACCCTGTTTTACTGGTTTTAAAAAGCTCTTCCATTTCTAATTCTTTCCCATTCTGATGAAGGGTCACTGACATGAAATTTTTAGTCAGTTTCTACATTTTGTAATATTTTAACTCGCAGCTGCATGTAAGAATTTTTTTACATGTTTAAATGGGCTCAAATGCAAGTTGAAATAGAACAATCAAATGAACTCTGTTCTAGTTGAGAAATCAGCCAAGGAGTTTGCTTTGAACTACCTACTGCAAAGCTACCTTCACTGTTACTCCCACAGTGCTATGTAGTATATGATTGGCCTTGTTAACAACCTTATAAATTGGTCCTGAAAATTCATACGTCACATAAACCTGATGGTAAAATAGAGTGCATCACAGCCATCCTGTGGAATAAGCTTACCCTAATAAGATCATTTCTCATTGTATATTGTGCATATCGTGAAAGGCCCTAAGGCAATCTGTTTTAGTCCTGAAAAGTCCCCATTCTATTTTGATTTCATCTCAAACTAGCAATAGCAGCATGTGGTGCTTGCCATTAATAGGATGCTGCCATTAAACAAAACAAAAAAATTGTTCTGCCTAGCAGACAAATGAGTAATGTGTGAATTTCAGGACTGATGTGATGCCAGGTATGTAAGTTATACATCCTGAAAACTTGTGGACCATATCAAACAACATATTACTTTGTTTTTTCACAACAAGCAATGTTCTGACTGTACCCATACTTTCAAAACTTGCAACACCATGTCTAACATCAGATGTGATTCTGAAATTGGACATAATTTACTGGATAATCCTGTGTATGAAGAATTCTGCTGATAACCAATTTAGAGTTGTCAATCAGACATAGTGTGATACACTTGCGTGTACTGAAACCTACACGTGTAAATAGAGTCCTGTTCTTTGCAGACAAAGGACATATAGATGCACTAAGCCTATTTCACCTCAACAGATTAGATTGCAGCCATTTGCTGGTTCATTTCTCAGTAAAATGTACTGACCAATCAGAATCAACTTGCCCGCTTTATAATCATGAAATAGCCTAGCAATCATTATTAGTCAATGCATTCTCCATGGCAATGCCCCTAGCAATTAGAATTCATTTGCCAAGCAATCTGTGCTTTCTTCTTGTGTAATATAAATGTTAATTTTACCCTTAAATTGGTATTTGGTATTTGTTTTGTCAGAATGAGTGCAAGATAAAAAGTTTCAATACTTCTTTTTCAGCAATATGTCTGTTTCTGTCCATGGATATGGCCTGGCCTGCTGAGACTTTCCAGTTTTTCTTTTTTTTTTAAAAAGTAAGTGTTTGGCTGTTGATCTTCTTTTGCGTGCCAGTAATTTAAAATATTACTTTATCTACCTCTGTTTTTCTTTCAGCCCAAACTTTGAGCAGTTCCATGATAAGTAGAGTGGTCAGATAATCTGTCCTTCTTTCTGGCTACAGCAAGCTGTTTTTTTTGCGTGTAATACCAATGGTTTAGGGTCCATTTATACAGCAGAGTAAGCGTTTTCATTTTTATCATTGCTGTCTATGATGGTTATCCGAGATGATTTTGTGTGTCAGGTCACTCGATGCAATATATTTTTAGCACTGTTCCTGAATCGATAACATTATATAGGCTAGATCATTCTTTCATTGCGCTGTAAATTCTGAAAGATTATAGATGGTTTGGAGTGCAGAACTCCCTTGTGAAAGCAACATAATTATTGCAAAAAGCGCATACAATGTGTTATAACAAGGTGTAGAGCTGGA